AAGAATATTCTTCTCGGAGGCGCTCAAGCAATCGTTTGGACGCATCAGAGAATAAACTCGTCTCATTTTCATGAAATGAGAATAAAAATACAAGAGGCTGCCCCATGGGTGTGACTCGTACTATCCAGTCATTTTTTTTTACCTGCAAATTCCCCGTGTTTAATTTTTTTTCTTCATACACCGTATTAATATATATTTTTTTTATAACACTTTGATAAGGAGGAGGGTAGATCGACCGGTTTTCCCTCCCTGAAACACCTGCAGCGAGGAATTATACTCTCGTCGTTTGGCCCCAACTCTCGACGCACGCTATCCCGCATAATAATCTCGTGCTCTCTCTAGACCTCTCTTTCCCTCTTGAAACCTCTACACCCTCGCTGAATGCATTTATGTATGCCAAAGATATTCGCCAAGACATAAGTGCACCTGGGCGTATACGTGACGTTAACCAGGTCCTTTTGAGCCTCTTACGTGTGTACATAATACCCAGAGTCTCCATGGATTCTCGCGAATATTAAACTCGAGGGAAGATTTAATTATTATTATTTAACTGATTTTACGAAAAATATTGAGAATTTTTTTACATGTACTGAGAAATTATGCGGAAATCCCCTCAGCGAATATTTTTTTATTTTGAATAAAATAAATGTTTATGAATCAATAGATATTTATTGCGGTTTCAGAATGATTGCTGATTCAAATAATTAAAAATAAATAGTTTTCCATATTCAAGGTATTTTCTGATTTTGAAATTCATCCCCGGATAAATTCTGATGTCCGCAAACTGTTCCTCTGACACACCTAGTATCGAGTAAATCTAAATTAGGTTCTCATTTCCATTTTGCCGATGTCTGCTCTATCGTATCCCGTAATTAATCAAATATAAATTGACATTTGAATTCCGAGGTGCACGAAAAAGCACTAGGATACCCAATATAGGATATCAATATTTCAAGTTCTGTTATTCGAGTGTTGAGTACAGATCGAGGGTAAACGGAGAGAACGTGTGATTTGTGGCTGCAAGTAAAATTTCTGGGACAGCAAAATAGAGAGAAAAAATTTTGATATCGAGACAAACATCTCCTGGTGGTGGCAACTCCTCGAAACGGGTTTACATGTCACAGGGATAGTTGAGAAGTGAATTTAATTATTTAGCATAAACTTGTACTGGTTGAATTTTCAATGTAGCTCTGGCTTTTCATTCTAGATTCCAAACTCACGTTTCGTCCAATCGTTTTGATGGGACAATTGCTCTGCCCCCCTCTTTTTTTTTTTCATGTACCTACTGTAAATTAGTTCGCTCTGGATTGTTAAATTGACTTGGGAGTTGGTTGAAAAAAATTGAAATAAAATTTTTGAACTCACGTGAGAACTCTTTGTTGACGCAATTAACGTCGAGCGTGCTGAGAATTGTTGCAGTCGGCAGAATAATTGTTTTGGGTGTTTGCATGTTGCTTCAGTCAGTGGAATAGAAAAAAATTGTCGTTATTATTATTTCCGACGTTTTTTCTTTCGTTTAGTGGTGTTTGGAGAGTTTAAATAGGTATTCGGTGGCAAATATTTTGGGGCAGTTTCAGATATGCATCAGCAACCCTGGGGTTGGATGGTCGTGAAAGGAAATAGAGAATTACTCGCCATTTTTAGGGAATAATTATGACAAAATTACTTCTTCTTTTTTCTCTGTCATTTTGGATTTTCTTCGTATTCATTTATATATTGATATCCAAAGAATTGAGACAATTGAGACAATTGAGACGAGAAATTGGAGTATTTGAATTTTTTTCTCGAATTCTCCCCGAATTTTTCGCGTGATGCACACAAAATCCATCCCATGAATATTGTAGAAGAAAATAGAGAGGGAATTTTCGTGGAAATCATGCGGAAAATCCAGACAATTTGCAGTAAAGAGAGTACGAGTCGAGAATGGGGAACGTGAGGTACATTTTTTAATTTCAATTCGGAGAAACAAAATTGGGACTTTAATACTGTTTACGGTGTGATTAGAGTTGAGATGATATTCCACAGTGGAGAAATATTATTATACCTAGTTCACTTATCCAAATGGAATATTTCGTACTCGGGGGATGATTTAGGTGATTATTAAATAGAATTCTTCAGTTCTAGATGTCGTACATTATCGGATGAGCATGATGAATGAATGATAAGAGAATTTGATTGATCGAGTTGACGAATAATTCTCACTTCTTGACCCCAAAATGACAGTAACAATGACAACAGTTCGTCCTGCGTTATAATCAGGCAAATGTGTTTGCCATTGTCAAACATTCGCTCGAAGAAGTAACGATAGTACCAACGCGATATATATGTCATGAATAATTGCCCGGTATATGAGTCATTATCGTGACATGCAAAACGAGATACTCAAATCGATGGTTGGATAAATATCAAACAAAAATATGGGCGACGAGTCATGTGTACATTTTTGGGTAAATATAAATAGGAGGGAGCCTCGGTCAATAACTGAATGATAAAATAAGCAAATATTTTTTATTGCGTATTACCCCCTGGAGAGAACTCGGTGGAATATTCAACTAAAAAATAAAATAGCCCAAAAAATTGTGGCGAAAGAGTCGTCAATCGATTTTCACTCGATTTTCGACGAATTTCTCGAAATCCACGAAGGATACCGCAATTATTGCCATGACCTTTTTCGTAGAGTGGAAGAAGAGCTAAAAAATTGTTCCTACAAGAATTTCTGTGGCTCTCCTAGAGTCAGAGGTATCTCCCGAAAACTTAGTGGAGTGGGACACGAGAAAAATGGAATGAGTGGGATTATTTACGGAGTAATTTGCCATTTTTTTTCCACTGTTCAGGCATGGCGATTTATTTTTGGTGAAAATTCATAATTTTCTGCTTATGCACAGCCCCAAAAATATGTTTCCCCAATCCCTGTATTTACTGCTGTAAATCCGTAAAACACTCTCACCCCAACCCCGAATTCAGCATTGGAGATAATCCTGTCGTTCTGACTGTCAACGTTCCTCTTTCACCATTCAACAATCCATTTCTAAACAGGTACTCCAATTCCCCATCGATATTGATTACCCCTCATCCATAATCACCCCCTAATGACTGATAAAAAAAATGCCAACAAATTCCAACGAAAGTTGCCCGAAAAAAAAGCGATTATAGAATAAAATAAATTAAGTCAATACTCAGGATTATCCTCATGAAATTTCAGTGGATAAATTTTTTGCGACTATGAGAATGTTGAAAATGATAGTTGCTATCTATAAACGATAGGTGCACGTTAGTCCCCACTCAGGTATTCTCCCCAGAGTCCAATACACACGGAGTTATTTACAGTATCGATAAGCCGAATGAGAATGCCATGAAAGGATAAGAAAGCCAAGTATCACGGGTGAGACTGAAACAGCCTTGAGGGAAAAATCTGATCGGTATCGATATCGATCGACCAGTTGTTATAGATCAGGATTCCGCCTTGGAGTTGACGGCCAACACCTTGACGATTTTTATTCGTTCAATTTTCTCGCCTTATTCCGATTGAAAAAGTGTTTTTGCAAGTGGCACCACCGGAAATTGGAAGATCGCTCTCTTGATTAATGTCCTTTGATGGTGTTTAGGGATTGAAAGGGTGTGAGTCAGTATAGGGTGGCAATTCACAGTTTATTGAGTATAGAATGATACGACTGAGCGATCGTTGTGCGTTGGTGGAGGGAATGGGAATTGAAGGAGTGTAGAAAGTATTGGATGAGATTGATGGGCAGAGTGGAGCATTGAGAGGCCAATAAAAATCAGCGAATTGACGGAAATCGATGGCGGGGATTAATTGGCGCGAATCTAGCAGGAAGCATTTTTTTTTTCTCGCGCAGATAACGCGGCAAAAAGGAATGATAAATACCGGTGCATACGATCGTTTTCAAATGTTTCAGCAATACTCGTTGTTTTTCAGTTGTTCGTACATTCTGGGTGAAAATAAAAAATGAAAGTAATGACTGACTCCACAAGATGCATCAGTTCTGGTTTTCGTGTGATTCTGATTTATCCCAGTCCCAGAAATTCACCGATGGAGTGATTTTTTAATGTTTACCGGTCGAAAAGCACTCGTTTTTTAAATATTGGCAAAATAATTGGCATGTAATACTTGAATTTATATCTACGTTTGCGCAGTACTTCAGCAATGGGGAATACATTTGTTGAGATTGATAGGTAAAATGGAGCGTTGAGAGGCCAATAAAAATCACCGACTGGACATAAATCGATGACCAGGATTAATTGGCACTATTGCATGATTGTTCGACTATTTCCTGTGTTCGGTGATTTTTTTTTTTACCCTGAAAAATGCCCGTGGGGAATTGCAACGATTTGGGGAGTTAGTGCTATGATTTTTGCTGTCGTGTTACTGTACTTTGTGGAGCTGACCAGGCTACGGCCAATTTGCAGTAACTCCGCTCTTGAATACTAGGTTTCGGAAACTGGGTGAACAAAGGAGGAAGGGAGAAATGAGGGGTTGAGAAAAAAAAAATGAAGGGGAGGGATAAAGGAGTTAAAATTTTGCGGTGCGAGCAGGAAAATCCGGAGTGGAGTGGGCGGAAGACTCCCGGTGCCTCCTGGGTATATATCCCTTCCAGGGTACGAATATACCCAGGATCTCTGATATTACACAGTATTACAAGGGAGTCTTTTTTTTTTAATATCCGTCTCACTCCGATTTTTGTGTGAAATTGTGAACAGGGAAGGCGACAAAATTTGTCGTTAACGTGAAAGTTAATTGAGTGAGTTGACCTCACGCTCTAGGTGAACGCGTAATTAATTAATAATTAATTGGTGTGGAGAAGAGGCTGTCGGAATGATTGAAATAGGGACGTGGAATGAACTGACATTTTCCATTTTGTCGTGTCCGAAAAATATGATAAATCAATCAATCAATTAATCCGTGTAATAAAATTGAATAAATTTATGATTCTACTTTAATCAAGGGAAAGGTGTACCACTGAATGAATGAATTCAATTTGCAGTACCTATGGAAACCGTGTCAGCAGTCTCGGGTTACAAGGGACGACTGCCCTGTGATATAGTTCCCCCCCAGAGGAATGATTCAGTGGTGATGATTCTCTGGTACCGTGAGTTCACCAGTAAGCAACCAATCTTCAGTGTTGATGCACGAAAAAGTGGTCTCGATGATGATGCACCGAGATGGTCTGATCCCAAGGCCTTCGGTGGCCGAGCTGTATTGAGGATAAATCGAGAATTCGCTCAATTAGAGATTGAACTCGTACAGGACACCGATGCTGGTGTCTACAGGTGCAGAGTTGATTTCAGAAACAGTCCCACGAAGAGCCAAAAAGTTAATTTTACTGTTATCGGTAAGAGCAGTAATCAATACGGATGAATATTCTCTGGTGTCGTTGATAAAAATTATCATTGCTTTTAACTGCTTTGAAATATTCAGTACCACCGGGAAAACCTGTGATATACATCGGTCCAGATCGGCGTCAATCAAAGCAATCACCAGTTCTCTACGAGGACGGCCCTCTCACTCTCATCTGCGAAGTAACCGGAGGATCACCACCTCCGAGAGTGATCTGGTACTTGGGTGATAAAAAATTGGATGACACCTACGACCACGTCACCGATGAGGTGACAGTCAACGAACGCGTCATCACGAGACTCCCGAGGGAATACGCCACCAGTAAAATATCCTGCAGAGCCTCGAATACAGATCTCATCAGCGCCAGCATCACTGATCTGCATCTGAATGCCAATTGTACGTATGATAAATTGCATCACAAATTGAAAATTCATCTATTAAAAATTGGACGAGCGAGAGAATCGATTGGGAAGAAAAAATCAATAAGACCAAATAAAGAGAGGAATTCAATCAAGTGTGAAAATATTTTTTTTTTTCTGCAGTAAAACCTCTGGTGGTAAATATCACGAATAAGCAGAATCACCTATTGGCTCTTCAGCAGACGTACGAGATTGAGTGCGTGACTTCGGGTTCGAAGCCCGTAGCAATAATCACCTGGTGGAAAGGCTCGCACCAGGTCAAGCATATGGCTAAACAAGTGAGTTATTTCTCTTTCTTTCTCACTTTTTTTCATTTGAAAGAACAACTCCCATCAAACTGTCATTCTCATGCCCTCCTCTCGTCTCGTCAATCGATTAATCGATTTTCAGTGATATCAAGGGTGGAGCTGGATGTGCGAAAGTACCTGGTGAACACCACTTGGAAGATGTTCTATCTTGTGAATATCTCACAAATTCCATTCACTATTTCTCTTTGAATTATTTATTAAATAGATTGAGGCCTCCATGTACTATTTATCGAATGTTTCTCGTTCTACTTTTCCTCTTTTCTCTTATATTTCTCTATCTCTGAGGCTCGTTTGAAGATGAAAATGGAATCGATCGTGTAGGGTACAGTAATCACCTCGTGATTTATCCAATGGATTTATTGATTGCCAGTTCACGGACACTGGAAACGTGACGAGGAGTATCCTGAGTTACGTAGCAACGATTGAGGACGATGGAAAATTTTTAACCTGTCGAGCTGAGAACCTGGATGTACCGGACGGTGCACTGGAGGATAAATGGAAGCTCGTCGTTCATTGTAAGATTGAGACAAATGTGGGGATTTATATCGTGAACTAAAAGGTGGATGATTAATCTCTAGATGTACCAGTTGTTACCATTACACTTGGCTCTGGTTTACGTGCGAATGACATAAGCGAAGGTGACGACTTGTATTTTGACTGTGACGTTAAGGCCAACCCGGAGGCATACAAGCTCGGATGGTTCAAGGATGGTAGAGAGCTGCATCAGAATGTCAGCGCTGGTATTATACTTCCTGGTGGTAAATCACTGGTTCTTCAGAGTGTTAACCGTGCCTCAGCTGGGGAATACGCCTGCACCGCTGTCAATGCTGAGGGATCTTCCACCAGTCGACCTGTCATGCTGGAAGTTATGTGTGAGTACAGCATAATGCTGGAATTTAATTCAACACTTCTATCCTCGATGGAATGAAAATTCTGGTCTGATTTGTTTTTTCTCGTGACAGCTTCAGATTTTTATAATTAATTTCAATTTTCAAAAAACTGATTTTTTTGTGTTCTTCAAATCTTTATGAAATGAACATTAAATTCCGTTCGAATTCCATCAAAATTATAAAATGGTTATTTCATTTATATAATTTTGTATAAATTCAGTTTGTGATGAATTTGCGAATTGGGGAATTATTTTTTAGTATTTGTTAATGAAAATTGGAAACAATTCGCTGTGCAGATGCTCCAATTTGCAAAGATGGGGCTGCTATTCAGGTCGTTGGTGCCCTCAAGCCAGAAACAATAACTTTGGTGTGTGGGGTACAAGCAAAGCCTCCACCGACGATGTTTTACTGGTCGTTTAATAATTCCGGGGAGTTATCGGTGCCCGGGGATCGTTATGGTCCCAGCAAACCCTCGCGTATTACGAATCAATGGCACGGAGAACGAGTTAAATACACCCTCAATGATGACCGTGAATATGGTATGGTTTCCTGTTGGGCGGAGAATTCTAGGGGAAAGCAAAAAACCCCCTGTCTCTTCCAGATAATCCAGGCTGGAAGACCCTATCCCCTGCAGAATTGCTCAACCGCACAATCTACTGGACCCTATGGCTATCGCACGAGTGAGTCTCATTTTTATTTACATAAAAAAAAGAAGCAACCTCAAATGTTAATGAATTTTCAATTGGAAAGGTTCTGCAATTTTTTTTATATTCAATTGATTCACAAAAAGTGAAGACACTAGAATTTTTCAATGCAATACTGAAACGATCTCGATTTTTTCACGATATCTCGGAGAATAAGGGAGGTAGAAAAATTTTAGTAATAACCTTTTACGTAGCTCTTGATTACCTCGACAAAAAATATTTTGACGAAATTTTTTCAATCTCTATTAGTTTCCGAGATATTCTCGAAAAATTGGATGAATCAAAAAATCGTTTTTTATCAACGATTAATTATTCTTTAATTTCCTATTCATATTTATGATCGATCGTGTATTCCTCATTCACGGTTCATTCTTTTTACGAGCGACTTAATGTGCAGTAAATTCATTTTTTCATCTTTTTTGACATAAAGTCAAAATTAAAAAAGAAAATCAACGCATGAGAGAGTGTATGGACGCTCTAATTGAGTTTAATCATTTTTAATCTCAAAATATGAAGAAAAAATGCTATGTTGGCTATTGAATAATTCGTTGACGTTGAGATGAAAGAAGTGAAATGGTGAAAAAAAAAAAATGTTTATTTCCTCCGGATAACTAGACCACGAGGAATCAAAGCCCCAGGAATCCACCGATGCGGAATGGCTGATAGTGCGCTGCACAGAAGGTTTTGATGGTGGCCTACCCCTCACAAGTTTCGAGCTTGAAGTTTGGAGCGAGGAAAATGCTTACCACATCAACACAATCCACTTCAACCGCACCGAACGCCTTCCTGGCCAGCGCCATCAGGGCCCCATTTTCGAAGTGGTGGGCCTAGAACCCGGACGAAACTACAAACTACTCGTCTACGCAGTCAATGCCAAAGGCAAGAGTGAACCAGTTGTTCTATCCTCCATTACCCTCAAGGGAGTGGCCATGTACGCGACTGGTAAGTCTTTTCCTCCAAACAAATTTTTCAAAAGCAATACCCAAACAATTTTTATGTACCATTCATACGTAACGACGGGAAATTAAATTAAATGACAAGAATTTCCGATTCTGAAAATCGAGAATTTTCTGATAAGACCCAATTAAAAAAATTTTTAATATGGATAAAAAATTCAGTGCGCGTTTTTAATTAAAATTAAATTAAATCTCGGATTATTGAAAATTCCGATGAATTTTTGTCAGTTCAAGTTCCGGGAATAATTACCCCCCGTAATTAAAATTTGTCAATCAGCAAATGGCAAATAAAATCGCAATTAAAAATCATTGAAAATGAATAATCGAAAAATGAATCCAAAAAATCCTTAAAACAATGAGAAAACTCAGAAATTCGAGGTCAGACCGTTGAACCGAGTCCAGAAGATTTCCATTCATTAATTATAATTAATTACCCTGAACTAATGATGTAGAGCTGGCCTGTCCTCCAATTACGCGTCTTTTCCACTGCCTTCGTTTGATCCTTTGGCGTTTATGCGCTGTGAGTGAAAATTCTATAAAATTTTCTCATTCATCCTCAAGATATTCCCATGGAAATAGAGAGATGTCCCAAACTCGTAAGTTCGTTTATCGCCTTTAATTCCCGCTGCCATCTATTATTCATACAGGTCGTTGGAGGGGCTGTATATTTCAAGGAACAATCGTATCCCTTACGACTTGAACGTGTGTGAATATACAGAGATAGGGGATTCCCCTCCTCAAACGACGGATGCCATCGACATTGCTTATCTCCCGTTGCCATCTCTCGTTTAACATTGAGCAAAACCTCGGGGTGTAATTCACCCCCTCACCAGAAAAGAGGGTAAAAATCCGGAAGAGCGAAATAGATTTGTTTTTTCACTACCTGCTATCAAAATTTATTCTCTATTTAAACCACCGGCCCACTAATGATTGTTAATCATTACTCAACGTAAACAATCATTTATTCACGGAGAATTAATAATTAACAATGATAATTCGATCGATGAAAAACCGTAAAGTCAAAGCCCATCGATAAATCCATTATTTTTCGTGGATTTACATTAAAATTAGGGTTTTCTGGTTAAATTAATAATTTGATTTAGTGTAATCGGTGGTGCGACAGGTGAGGGGAAGGGGAATTGCTATAGATGATGATCTTGATCTGTCGATATGAACTGATGATGTATTCCATTAATCAGGATTCGGTAACTATTATGTTGTGCTCCTGCAGCTGAAGGAAATTGTGCTGCATTGAGTGCAGATATACTCTGCAATGTTTATTTAATAAAGATAAAAAATTGGTTGAACCGAATTAATAATGGATTGATAATTGTTCAGTCAATGTCCCGGTGTACAATTGATAGAGAACATGAAGTATTACGAGATATCAGGGATGACTCTCGGTTTTTCCAGCGATCTGGGTACAGTGCCAATTTCAGTTGGACGTGCGCCACGTTCTCTCCCTTGTTTCGAAGATATACTGGGGGTGAAAGCGAAAGGAACTGATATCTCGGAGATGTTGTCCAGTTTAGTGAGGGGCTGTTCTTTAGATCAGTGGAGAAATTGGAGATATTACCTCACTAGGCTTTGCCATCGAGTTTCCCTCGGGTTGGGGCTGAGTTTTATCTGGATGTGACGCTTGACATCTGACTCCTGTAAGGGGATGATTCCTTCTGGTAGGATGAGGGTGTTTAGGAGGTAATGGGGATTATGGCGAGTTATTGCTGGGGCGTGATCAGAGTTGATGGAATTTTTTCGTGTTTGGGGAGGGATTTTTATTTGGAGTGTTGTCGTGGGGTAGATTATCATTTAACAATCAACTTTACGGTGGGGGGATGACGAGTTTTGGGGAGGATTTTTACGAGGGTAATCGACTAGATGAGATTTGTTTAATATAGAATTGGGGAGTCTTCAGATTTTGGGGTTGTCGAGACAGTGGACACGAATTTGTGAATATTTTGACTTTCTTGGCTTCCAAATACTGAAGAATTCGGTTGATGTCGCGTCGTCTCGGTTAGGTAATTAATTATTAGCTAATTAATAATTAGGCACAAGTCACACCGCGATTAGTTGGTAGCACGTCCGGTTGATTAATGATCACTCCAAATATCCAACTAACAATCGTCCTGTTCTCTCCATCTCTCAGGTCGAGGTTCAACGGACAAAGACTCGGACTACAGTCTCCTGATCGCGTGTTTTGCAGGTGGTATAACAGCAGTGTGCATCCTAGTGGTGGGTGTTACAGTGACCCTTTACCGTCGAAACAACGCAACTCGTCCCATAAAAAGCCAAATGCACGTAGTACACTGCGATGATAAGGAGGACGATGGTAATTCGTCGACAATGGAGAAGTCCCACGATTTTGTGAAGGAAGTCAAGCCAACAGCGAGATTCAAGGATCCCCGAGAGTCACCGATAATCGACAGCAACGAGGACAATCCTGACGTGATACCGAGTAAACTCGGTAATTTCTCAGCAAAACCTGAGCGCGCGAAAGATTTTACCGAGGTAGAGGGTGATTATCCATCACCAGCTTCTGTTCTCCATGGAAAGGACACCTGGATCTATCCAAATGGCTACGTTGAAAGACCAGATGCCACAAGTCCAATTCGTCCTAGTACTCTGTCAGTTCATCGCAGTCACGACATATACACGAGAAGTCTGAGGGTTCAGGAGAGTTGTATATAATAAACAGAGAATTATTTCTATGATATTTAACTTGATATCAATGATAACCGCGAATGAATGAATGAGACTCCCGACATGATGACTCTCATCGAACAATCCACGAAGCATCCTCGGTACTTGATGATGCTGCTTCGATGTTTGTACATAGACAATAAACAATTTCATTGTTAAAAATTCATGTTGTTTTAGTTGTTTTTTTTTTATTACACCACTGGGCTTTCTGGTCTCGAGTGGTAAATTGATTTTGTTTGTAGACTCAGCGTTTTATTCAATCTCACGGAGATCTAAGGGACCGTCCTGGATTTTCTCAGAATGCTGTTTGGAATTTCATTCTACGGTGAAGAGCTCCATTCATTTTGGGAATCAACTTGCCGGGGTTTTGTTGAGGATCTCATTGATTCGGGATCGCTGCGAGGTTTGTATATTCAATTGTTGTTCATTTTATTCAGGTGAGTTTTGCTTTCTATTTATTGGGGCTCTTTTGAGAGTTGATAGGTGTGATTGGGTCTGGATCAAGTCGATGTGATTGGATTGATTTTTTTTATGAGGAAGGGGTAAATCCTGATGACGGTCAGACCTCGAGAAATTCCTCAAAATCATGATCGATTGATCTTCATCGTTATGTACTACAATTTATTCTATATTTTTCCATGGTTGAGTTATCGGAGTTTGAACGTGTGTGATAGATCACTCGCTATTTATAACACGATGAAAAATACCGCATACTAAATGCGTTATAAATCAGCTCCATAAAAAATTCGATGATAATCCCTCAAATAAAACGGAGACAAAAAAATATTTATCGTTTCAGGTACACAGCTAATTAATTGATCATCCCTTTTGAGGATTAGTTTAAGCATGACCTTTTTTTTCGTTTGCCGAAATTCCATTAATAAATTCTCTATTTTTATCACTGAATACTCATGTTTCCAGGATTTTGGAAAAACATAACATAAACACGTAATGATACGTTCCGTTATGGAGTTACTAATTGGTGTCCTCGGAAAAAAAAGAACGTAACAAACAAGCTCATACATCGTGCATTTTTTTCAGTTCCATGAATCTGTCGACAGTTTGGGATAGAGTGTACCGTGACAGGATGTAACGATTTAACGAGAGTATTTTTTTGTTCCACTGAAAATTTATCCGGGACTTCGTTCGCCCCCTCGTTCGTTTGACTATACAGCGAGTAGGGGAGCTCCATTAAATGTCAATCCATTTGCATAGCAATGCATACTAATTACGCGGATGAACGCAGAGTGAGTGAATGAGACTCGGATAAAAAAAAAAATGAGAGTAAAAAAAAAAGAAAATAAAAATAAAAATAGCCCGTTGACTGGACTTGATTCGCAATGGGCTTTGGGGACCAAGGATTATTTTGCTCTTGGGACAATAATGCTGCGGTGCTGGCACTGATTTTTTTTTACCCTCGCCTTTTTTTTTTGAATATATTTTTTTTATCCTGTGGGTGGGCGTATTTTTAGACCAGCTGAGTCACAGGCCAGATCTCGGTTGCTAATTCCCGGGGGATTTTTTTTTTTCGGTGGGTTTAGCGTTTTATGTCGGCGAGTCCACGGCCCTCTATTTTATTACGCGCCTTATGGATGTCGAAATAGTAAAGGGAGTCGCACTCGGACGTTGTGTCTGATGTTTATGTTAATTTATCTTCATTTATAGGAATAATGACAGGTGCAGGCCAAATGGGTAATTGTAATTAGGAACAGTTTGAATGATTGTTGTCGCTAATGAATTGGCAGGTGGAGAAAATATCTCAGTGTGAATTAATGATTTGAAATTTCACGAGATTTCACTATTCTACCAATTGATAATTTATTTTAATTCGCACTCATCCCAGTAATCGTAATAATAGAATTGATATCGATAGATAATTTTTAACAATTGGATTTATTTACGCAATTACTTCTCCACCGTAAAAAAAAATTCCAGAGACTTGAATTTTTCGAATTAAATACCCAATTCACTCTATTAATTAACTTCACCATAATTAATCTGAATAATGGTTTTTTTATTTACCCGCAGCTGCAATTGCAGTGAGTAAAAAAAACCGTAAAAACGTTTTTGCGTGAAATTTCATTAAAAATTTGATGAGGAGTTTGAGAAAGGTGAAAAAAGTTGGTAATAGAGATAGAAAACTCGTCTAGTCACAGTGAAATAATTTTATGGAGTGGCAAGAGGCAAAAAGTAGAATAGAATTCAAAATGGTGAGTTCCTCTTGTGGATGGTAAACGAAGGGAAAAACTCATTCCTTGAGCTGAGGACTAGCCATTGTGAGAGAGAGTGAATTAAATACTGAGGGAATGAGAGTGAAACGAATAGGGGGCCAACTATTGTGGAGTTGGTGGTGAAAGGACCCTCTGCCCCCTTTGGTTTTCTTTCTCCTGGAATTTTTCCACCCCCTTTAACATATATATATTTTCCTCCCCGGCCCTCTCAATTCGTTCAGAGAAATAAAATCCGCACACCGGCTGTGCACACTTTTTCCTTCAGCTATTTTCCTCCCCCTTTTTCCCCTTTCATCCCCTTTTCTTTATCAAACCCTTTCTCGCTGACTCTGTCTCTTTTTTTACACGAATTTTTTTCAACTTTTTTCCTCGCCAACTGCACAGAGGATGTGTGCATGAATTTAATTACCTCTAACTTTGCGCTTTAGTTTATTATTAAATCCCGACAACAGCTGACACGTATAGGATACTCGAGGATAATGTTATGGAAGGGATGAATGATGAAGGAAAAAAAATTATTCATCTCTCCTTTGAAACTATTCTCTTGGATTCTGAGTAATGGCTGAATAAATCGTTGTCATTTACTTGTTTTTGGAGGAAAATTACGGGATATTGTTGTTTTTCAAATTTTTAATGGGGGCATCAAGGGATTCAACGGATTGTCGATAAATGTCGAAAATAAATGATTTTCAAGGATCGATTGGGGACTCGAACAAGTTTCAACACCAGAATCAGAACAATGATCCTGCCACATCAAAGAGCCCACATAGCCAAAAGAGCAAGTTGGCGTATTTAAGATATGGGTAATTCGAACAACCGAAAATTTAACCGCACGAGAAATACCAGGACGCCTTTTGAAAGCGGAAAGCTTTATAGTAGAGAGTGTAGAGGTGATCGTAGGGTTTTCCGGCACGCGAGAAATTCGATAGTACCCTGGGATGAAAATGATTTTCCTTCCGGTAGTTCGTATCCCCCAACCATCCCCTCACTCATCCCCCAGTTTGAGTTGAAAAGTGAAATCTCCTCGTAAGTATAAATGAGAACGGGAAAATGTCTACTATATACTCCGACATGATTCATTCCTTGGGTTGGTCTCGCTTTAACTTCCTCTACGGTCCGGCGAACAATCGCCATTTATGAAGCCAACCATTTTACCCACTCCTGTCTTATAAACTCGGTTCTTATGAAGCTTGCATAATGCAGCGCATCTCATAAAAATGTACAGAGCGAGGAAGACTGTGAAATACAGAGGAATAAAACTGAGATGGAAATTCTACTCTGTGATGGACCACAACCGCTGGTTCGGGGGATTTATTTTTAATATACAACTATTATTAGAGACTGTAGCAGTCGTAAAGACCATGATTTTGTTATTATTATTCGCAATCTTCAGGAGTACAGTTGCATTATTTTTTCATGTAATTACGGATGTTGGGGTAATAATGGGGTGGGAGTTGGTGGAAAAATCCTGGGGAATAACAAAAGTTCGGGGAGAGAAGTCGAACTCTATCTCAACTAATAATTGAGGGAAGGGGAAATAAAGAAAGTCACAATTGACGGGGTGGAAGAAAGTCGGATGATGGGAAATAAAAATATCAGGGTATCCGGGATAATGAGGTTTGAGTTCACTCTTCGTCATTAGAAAAGGAATTCGTTATTGTGAAACTTCACGCGAAACCATTCGAACGGTTCTTTCAATTTATCCATTTCTTTAGAATTTATTTTCAATACTGAGGGCATTCTTTATTTTTCATGTTTGCCGACAGAGAATTGTCAATTAAACAATTATACTAGTCCGAGTGATAAATATATTTTTTTCAATTCATTATGAAATCTTCATGAATTCTTGAGATTTTTTTCAAGTTCAATGAGATAATTAATATTTTTAGAGATTGTTTGACAAGTGGGGGAGTGAGAAACTTGAAAAAGAAAAATCACTTGATCAACTCAATTAATCGAGCCCGAAAGCCTCTTCAGCATTCGGATATGTTGATTTCAAATCGGAAGAGGACCGAAGTCTCATCCATGAATATTAATGACGGAAAATATGATCCGAAGTGGAATATTGATAACTCTGAAATTCACATCTAAAAGCGGTGAACAAACAGAATGAGAGACTAGCAAAGTACAGAGTTGATTCGAATCCCGCGTGGAGTTTCCACGGAGTTTTAAAATTACGAAAGAAAAACATCCCGCGACATAACGACACATTAAATAATTACAAAAAAGGTTCACTCCAACAAATAGAGACAATTGAAATAATAAACACAAAAATATGTGTATGTCTCCTCTGGTGGATGAATAAATTAAAATCCATTGAACCATTTCCAATTAATTAATTAATAAATTATCTTTACTAAATTATTCTCGCGGAGAATTCAAAGAAATCGTTGGAGAATTCAAGAATATCGATGGAATTAAATCGTTTTTAAAGGATTTATGGAAATTTTGGGTCAAGGTTCAATTATTAAAAATATTAATAATTTTTTTCACTCTGTTTTTTTTTTCATAATTTTTTTTTGAGTACGTATGTACACATGGGGCACACGCCGCTGGACTACCGAAAGGATTAATGTCCTTGGCTGAGTGCCAACAACCGAATGGCTGACCCCGGTGAACCCAGAGGCCGACTTATACCCGACGGTGAGGTCCGATAAACCGTTGGGTATCATCCCTTGCACACGGATGACCCACGGGGTTTCTCCACTGGTGTAGGCGATATTTTTATTTTCAAGTTTGAAACCTCACCAAGGAGGGGGAAGGATTTCTGCCCAACTGAGGATTAATGGATTTTCTGAGAATAAATAAATTGATGGGGGTAAAATGACAGCGAAATTCAATACCCGATGCTCTCATCATAGGAATGAAAAATAAATTAGAATAAAATGATAT